AGATCTCTGGAGATCTCCGCCCAAAAAATTTTCTAACATAACCTAATTAATAGGTACTAAAAAAAAAAAAAAAATTTTAAGAGAAAAAGATAATTGACAAGAAAAAAAAATAAAATTTTTATTATAATAAGTTACCATAAAATTTGTTTTAAAAATAAAAAGAAATTTTCAAATATTTTATAATTGATTTTTTTTTTTTTAATATTTTTTTATTATTGTATTACTTGATTTTTTTCTTGATAATTAGAAGTTAAGTTTTTTAATAAAAAAAAAAGTGTGATAATAACTTTCGAATTATTTTTCAAGTTGTTTTAAAGATAATAGTATGACTTTATTAGTCAAAAAATTTAAAAACTTTGACAAGTCTCTTTTTTATATATAATCTAAGAATCAATTTTTTTTAATGTCTTCTAAAAAATTAAAACTTATAAATCTTAAAATTTAAATATATTTTTTTTTAAAAAATTATAATATATAGAAAATTTTAATTTTTTTTTATTAAATCCATAAATTTTGTTTATTTATAATAGAGATTAGAAATAACATAAAAAAAGAGTATTTAGAATTTTATCCAAATTTGGGTGTGGCGTGACAAATCACGTGTCACAAGCCACAAATATCCGTACTTTATCTCACTGGTACTCCTAAATGTCTTCGTTTAAATCAGACGCAATTTCATAAATTATTATCGAATTACACTTCATACGCGTAAAAAACCGCTAAGGATGCGACGAGTAGTGCGGATATTACTTGTTGGGGACGGTAAGTCCAAAATACTCCGTCCCGACGAGTGTTTCTACATTCTACCTTTTTTCTATTCCAATTGTTGATCTATCGTGTAAAAAAAATTTTAAAGATGGTGTGGGAAAGAGTACGCTCATAACGTCGCTTATCAAGGAGACTTTCGTTCCCGATGTAAGTACTTTTCTCCGAGGCACGCAGTCGTATGCTTTCTTTTGTGTTAATTAATTCTAAACATTGAAGATTCAACACGTCGTCCCTGAAGTTACAATTCCACCAGAAGTTACGCCAGAAAATGTTGTCACGCATATTGTCGATTCTTCAGGTAGGCGAATACATTTTCTATTTCGAATTTACGCTTCGAGAATTCCTTGCAATTCGTTAATCAAATTTCCCTGTCGGCGCTAACGACAGCCCGTGCAGAAAATCGTGAACAATTGGAGACAGAAATTAGGAAGGCACATGTGATATGTATTGTCTATTCTGTAGACAATCAACATACATTTAACCGTCTAGCCTCATATTGGCTGCCATATATCAGGGGTCTTGGGGTGAATGTGAGCAAAAGAGGGGAAAAACAAAAAAAAGTTCGAACGCTCTATCAATGATCTTATTACTACAGCAAAAAGGTTTAATATAGTCTAATGTGTATCACACCATTTGGCGGAACGTTTAGGTCCCTGTTGTGTTGGTAGGAAACAAGATTGATCTACGAGGGGATCAAGTCACCAATCAGTCATTGGAAGATGAAATAATACCCATAATGAACGAGTTTAAGGTCAATATAAAGTCATTAGGATGCGTTCTTTTTCAATCGATTGTATTCATGGAATACTGTATTTTTAGGAGGTAGAAACTTGCGTAGAATGTTCGGCAAAACAGCCGCTGAATGTGTCTGAGGTTTTCTATTTTGCACAAAAGGCCGTACTTCATCCCACAGCACCGTTGTATGATTCAAGAGATCATGTGGGTGTTATTTTAATTGTGTCCAATTCATTACAGGCCATTCGATTATTGACACCAATTTTTTCTTTTGGAATTAGGTTTTGAAACCGGCTTGCATCGACGCGCTTAAACGAATTTTTAATTTATGTGATACTGACAAGGACGGTGTGCTGAATGATGATGAATTGAATGAATTCCAGGTTTCTATTTTTATTATCAAGAAGGAATTTATCGATATACCGATTGGCATTAACAATGTCATTATTCGTTCTGCGACTTAAAGAGAAAATGTTTCAATGCCCCACTTCAACAACAAGAGCTTGAAGGGGTAAAGGAGGTTGTAAAGGAGCATGAGCCTGCTGGTGTTAATGAAGTTGGGTTGACGGAGCTTGGATTTTTATTCCTTCACACGCTGTTCATACAAAGAGGCCGCCTGGAGACCACATGGACAGTTCTACGTAAATTCGGATATGGTGACGACCTATCATTACGAGAAGACTTTCTTTTTCCTCCGTCAGTATTTAACTTTAACCCGATATAATAGCCACACCCGATTATTTTCCTTTAAATGTGTTTGACAAATCGTTTTAACTGGATCTTTAATTAGGTTTGACGTGCCTCATGACTGCTCTGTAGAGTTAAGTCCTAATGGCTATCAATTCTTCACTGATATATTTCAAGTTTTTGATAAGGTAAGGAGGAACCAATCAATTTAAAGAGAATTCCTTTATTATATTGATACCTTACCCTACATGAACTGAAATCTATCAAGGATAAAGATGGGGCATTGAAAGATAGCGAATTAGAACAGTTGTTTAGCACAACGCCAGCTAATCCGTGGATAAATTCTGAGTTTCCACATACGACGATTACAAATGAAGCTGGCGCAGTGACGCTACAAGGGTGGCTTGCACAATGGAGGTACGTATAAGTTAAAAATGTATTCATGGCAAAAAACGTGACATAATAGATCTAATATTATAATTCGTGTTAGCATGACAACATCGCTTGATTATAAGACGACGCTGTCGTATTTAGCATATCTTGGATTCGAAGGAGATACTACGACGGCATTAAAAAAGACAAAGCCTAGGAAGGCTGATAGAAAACGAAACAAAGTCCAAAGAAATGTGTTTCTGGCTTATGTCTTTGGGGCGGCTGGGTCTGGTAAGGTAAGAAGAGTTCTTTTTTATTGGCGAGTAATTCTGACAATTAATCATGATTCATAATCATTCTATTTCATTAAGTCATCACTGTTAAGGGCATTTGTCAACAAACCTTTTACAGATGGATATACGCCGACCTCAAGATCGTTTAGTGTCGTGAACTCTGTTGAGATAAAAGGCGCAGAAAAGTATTTGGTGGTAGGTGAAGTATTGCTAAACAATTACCAAACAATCGCAAAATGCAAATTCACTTAAAGTATACGCAACATCATAGCTTCAAGAATTTGGTTCGAAATACGAGGCTGAGATACTCCAGAATAAACGTAAATTGGAAGCATGTGATTTAATTTGTTTTGTATACGATTCAAGTGATACAAACTCGTTTTCTTACATTGCTGAACTTCGGGTAAGAAAGCAGGTTATCACATTGAATGTGCCCTCCTCGCGAACTCTATTGACTAAGTTTCTATGTTTAGAAGCGACACAATTTAGACAATTTTCCCACAGTATTTGTCTCCACAAAGAGTGATTTAGACTTAGTACAGCAGGTTTGTGAGAAGACAGACAAAATTTTCGTACGGCTATTAAATTTCTTTCGTTTACACTTGTGCTTTATTACTTTAGCGACATGAAGTTCAGCCAGATGTATATTGTCGCAATCTTGGTCTCGCTGTTCCTCTAAGTGTTTCTGTGAAAAACCAGCAGACAGCAGATCTATGGAATTTATTAACCGGAGTGTCTATAAATCCTGCCATAGCTACTCCAGGATTAGCAGATTCCGCGCATGGTGTATCCAGAATTAAGAAATACTTGACATTCACAGCAGTTATGGGTGCAATAATGGGCGCCGCATTTATGGGATATCGGTTGTTCCAGCAACAACGGGGGTTCGGAAGTATAACAAAACGAGAAATACTATAGGAAAACTAGTTTTAGCGATGAGATTTATTAAAGGAGGAGTTCTAATATGAAGTTGGATTTTTTTTTTTTTTTTTTTTGTGCCCGATGTCGTGGGATATCTCATGCTCCACAAAATGAGAGACAATATTTACCAGAACAGTTTTAAAAAATTTGGAATGTAATTTGTAAATTCATAAAACCAGATTAAAATTAATCAATTCATTTACTAGAGAGAGATTTACGGCCGGATACCAATTTTTATGATGCTAGCGAAGACGTCTTGCTTCACGTTCGGACTCTAAGAGACACAGGATGTCATTTTCACGAACAGGTCCTTTGACGTTGCGGATAATTGAACGGGTAGCATCATCCAAAAATTCAACTCGAACTTGGGTTACCCCACCACGGGAGCCAGTACGGCCAAGAACTTTTGTAACTTTGGCATGCTTGAATGTTTGCTTGGTGTCCTGCAATTAAGCAATATTTATGATCAAAAACCTTCTTGTACATTTAAATTAATTTAACCGATTCACAATGTCTTACCATGTTTATATTTTTTTTTGATTTTTCTAAAGGACTAGCGATCGCAAAAATTTTTTTGAATAGATCATAATTTATATCGCTAAATTAGAAGTCAGGTGTGGCACGTGACACATAGTAGATTAATTTTGTGATTTTAACTATGATAAGTACTAAACAAATAATATAATCAAAAATTTAAGATCAAATTAAAGTAAACTAAATTTTTAAAGAAATAAAAAAATATATATTTTTTATTATTGTGATCAAATTTATATTTGATATACTGTATATATTTAAGTAAAATTGTTTTTAAAAAAACAATTTTCAAAGTTTTCAAAAATAGAATTCTTTTCATAGTGTTTCGCAAAAAGGTATCTAAAACTTAAGTTTATTAATAAATCAAGAATAAACAAAAATAATTTCTTTAGTTTTAATATTAAACTTACCTTTTTTTTAAGTAAATTAAATTACTATTATTTATATACTTATAAAAATAAGTTATTTAAATTACTTGAATTTTTTTAATTTTTTTTTGCAAATTTTTTAAATTATTTAATTTATAATAAATTATTTTATATACTTAAAGATAGATCTTTAAAGAGAGAGATAGAAATAAATATTAAATATTTTATTAGATAGTATTGAAATATTAAATTAATAATTATAAAAAAATTATTTATAATAATTCTATATTCTTCAAATTATTAATTTATAATATTTCTTGAATTTTATCTTTATTAAAATAAAGAATCATAAATTTTGTTTGTCAAAAAAGGATATAAGTAATTTGTAAATTTTTATATAATAAATATTTTAGAAATCCATTATTATATATATTACATTTATAAAATAATTTTTACTAATTAAACATCAATAAAAATATCAAAGAAATAATTATAAATAAACAAATAAGAATATAAATATTAATTAAAAATAATTATTCAATAGTATTAGAAATTATTTTTGTTATACTTTTTTTTTCTTAAAAAACAAATTAGGTCACTTTATATAAGAAATAAAATTATTTTAAAAACTTTATTATGTATTTCAAAAAATGGTTTATAGATAAGATTTTTGTTTAATAAATTTGATCTAAATTATTTTAAAAAATTTTATAGGTATATTTAATAATATAATAGTAAAGAAAATTTTGAAGTAAATTTTTTATAGATATTATTATTATAATTATTTGAATTCTTTAATAATATTTGATGGTTTTTCTAATAGTATAAATTAATCAAAGTAACTATATAATAAGATTGTTATATTATATATATATTATATATTACTTAATTGTTAAAAAAATATTTTTAATATTATATTCTTTATTGAAATAATAAAGTTATATAAAAATTCATACTATTTTGAAGTTTTATTTGAATAATTAATATATTATTTTTAAGTAAATTCATTTTATTAACTAGTTATTAATAATTGAATTTGAGGTAACTTCAAAAAAGACTTTTTCCACTGATCCTCTGACTACACACAAAAAAGATGTTTGCAAGAAGTTTTTACACTTCCTTGTTAATAAAGTCTTAACACTTTCCTTAAAATAACTTGAAGTATGACTTCAAGAA